ATGGTAACAAGACATCCAGGTGATTCTTGTGCACAGTAAAGTCTGGGATTCGCTGGTCTACGTGTCTTCTAGACATGTCAGAACTGTGTGGTCTGCTCTGGGCATGTGGTCTGATCACATCACTCACCATTCGGTCCAGAGTTCAGTCTTCCTTCCCTTTCTCATCTACAGCCAATCTCTCACTTGGTGACCTCATCTGTGCTCAAGACTTTAAATATCATTTATATGGTGTCACTTTCCAAATCTATTTCTCTTCTCTGACATTGCTCCTAAACTCCATACTCATCCATCCAACTGCCAACCCAACCACATCACTTGAATTGCTAACAGCCATCTCAGCTTCAACATCTCCTAAACAGCGTAGCTGTAATGTCCCCTCTTCACATATGCCTCTTCCAGTGTCTTCTCTTCTCCACTGACAGCAACTCCATCCTTCTACCTGTACGGTCCAAAATGAGGGTGTCCCCCTTGTCTCCTCTTTCTCATATCACAGATGTCATGCATTAGGAAATGCTGTGAAGTCTGTCTTCAGATGTATCCAGAATCCAGTCACTTCCCACTATTTCCACCGCTCACACCTGTTGATGCAACTGACATCTCTGGCAGGAGCACTGCACTAGTCCCCTACGCTTTTCCTACCACCTCACTGGCCCTCGCCTCTTGATCCTGTTCTCAGCACAGCAGCCAGAGGGATCCTTTCACCAGAGAAGTTGTACCATGTCCCTCTGCTGCTCAGCACTGTCTTCTAACTCCCCATCTCAATCAGAGAAAAGTCAAACCCGTCTAACATCCTCCAGGCCTACGTGATGTGGCTGCAGCTGACGTCATCTCAGTCACTCTGCTCCTGCTGTCCCAGCCTCCTCGCTCTTCCCAGAACGCATACATCTTCCTGCCCCAGTACATTTGCAGTGGGGTTCCCCCTGCCTGGGGAGAACTTGTCCCAGACTTCCTCATGTCCTTCAAATCTTCCCTCAAAGGTCACCTTTGCAACAAGGCCCACACTGACCACCCTAGTAAAATAGCCCTCTTCCCTGTCCCCACACACTGCACTGTGGATCACCTTCCCCACAGCACTGACCACCTTCCACTATAAACACTTTCCTTAGTTACTCTGCATAGAGTATAAAAAGCCTGTCTCTTCCCACTAGAGCATATGCTCCACAAGGCCAGCAAGGTTTATTTTTGCTTCAGTGATGTTTCCCAGATGCAGAAACACTATGTCACGTATCTGGCCCACAACATAGAACGGTTGAATGGATGGTCATGGTAGAGCACCTCCCTATTCCAGAGACAGTATTATTATTAATGCAGCTTCAGACATAATGCTGTCTTGTGGCAGCTACAGCACAATGTCCCCTCACACTGACATCAAAGCTGCCTGTGTACTTCTCATAAGTGCTGCTCCCTTGTCTCTCCCCGCCCCTCCCTCCCCTGCCCTCCTGTGCACCAGAGCACACAGTTATATTTCTCTCTTCAGAAAAGAAAATACTTGACTTACGGGTCCTATTTTCCAATCAAAGAAAAATCTAAATCAGATTTATAAATCCATGAGTTTGGATTGGAGTCAACACTACAATTACTAGAGATAAGGACAGAAAGAGGGTGTAGGTAGGCGAGCAGGACAAAATTCCAACAGCAATTTATTTAAGATAAGAAACCTTGAGATTCCTTCTCTCTGATAATTCCAAAATCAGGTTCCTTTAAAAAGTTGAGGAAGAAATGGATAGAATCAATCTGGAAACAGCCCTGCAAGGGCAAGATCTGGATGAGACTGAAAAGTCATCTTTTGATACCACAGAGTCTCTGTGCAGTAGCCACCCCTTGTGAGGACGATAACCGGAATGACAACTCCAGCTGCTGTCAGAGATGGGAGATAACTAGAGAAGAATGAGACCAGAAATCATGTACAAGAACAATAAAAGGTATAAGCCTTTATAGAAAAAAAGACACAAAATATAAACACAAAAAGGATGGGAACTGAAGGCTGGACCCAGGCCAAAGCCTAGGCTGACCTGACCACACCAGCCCTCACTGCTCACAGTCCTGGATTCACTGCTCACAGTTCCGGAGACAGGACAAGACCCAGGTGATGTCTGAGTCCTTGTGATCACAGGTCCTGGTGGAACAAGATTCTACTGAACATACAAAGACAAGGAAGCAGTGAAAATGACCCAGCTAAGGGCTGTCGTCAAAGCCCACGACAGACTGAGCACTGACTGGGCACAGGCCCCATCCATGCTCAGATCATCACAGTCTTCCCCTGTCCCCACCTGCAACAGACATAGCACAGCAAATACGGATTCTAGAAAGTTTTCATTGTTTCCATTTATTTCCACTCTCAAATTTTACAAATCTTCCTTCTTTTCAATTAATCTGTCAACCCCTCACAGCAAGAATTTGAAAAAACAAACAGATTCTTATTTTCATGAGAGAAGTAAAAAGTTGCCCCTCAGTGTACCATGAAGTTGAGACAGGGGTGGAGACCTCCCAGCCCCACTTCTGCTTAGAGGCAAGTTGATTGGAAAAGGAACACAGGTCAGGGTGAGAAGAGGTCTTGGTGGATAGGGGTGGGCTGGTCCTCCACATCTCACATTATACTACTAGGAGAGCAGACACATTCAGATGCCATTTGCAGAAAGAGGCATCTTAAGTCATAAAGGGGAGGCAGGAACAAATCTAGCATCACTCAGTCCCACACAAGGCAGCTGTCTCATGCTATTAAAAAAAAAAAAAAAAAAAAAAAAAGAACAAATTCAGATCAATCACTGAAATTAGTAGCACCCTGAACAGCCCACCACACTCAAAATGTCCCAATCAAATAGTTTCCATAACGCAGTCAAGTCCCCTCTGTCCCACCCTCTCTCCCACTTCAGGCCCTCTAGGGTCTCACCATTACAAGCCATGAGAGACACATCAGACCCCTGGGCACTGTCACTGCCTGGGATAGAACAAACAGGACCTGGTCAGAGCCCACAGGAGATACAGCTAAAGGAGGAATTATGGGGTGGGAGAGCTCTTCATGTGCTTCCATCTACACTGTCCCAAGGGTCTCAGACATCACCCACACTTTACTTACTAGCAGCCTGAGCATAACTCCCTCCTTTTACACCTGTGGGAAGAAAACATCCTGTGAGAGACCGGGCAGGAGGCAGGACCAGGAGGTCCTAGAGGAATTTCCTAGTCTTGAATCCCAGAGAAATTTCCAGAACTGTGTAGACTCACGGCAGAATCACAAAACACAGGGAAAGAGGATGTGTGCCGACTGGACCAACCACACTCCTGGAGGTATGTCCTCAGCAGAGGACCTCTCCCTGTGACTTGTGACTGCTGAAAATCAGGTCCCATCCCCCTAATCATCAAGGTGGCAAATTTATCCTTGATTTTCAAATGTGCTTTAAACAGAGTAGGTGTTAGCACACAGGGCCAGGCTAGGTAAGCACGTGTGTGTGGATGGTACATTCCAGTAATGAGGCCAGAAGCAGTTCTACGTGGGGCTTGGAGCCCGCCAGTTAGACAAGAACCTCAGACCACATCTTTCAGTCTTTCCCTACCTGAGCTCTTCTTCCTCCACATCACAACACCTACAACCACAGCTCCAGCGACCACAAGTCCAAGGAGAACCAGGACAGCAACAATGGCCGCAGTGGGGACGGTGGGCTGAGGAGGCGGCTCTGGGAAGGGAAGGGAAGGTGAGGAACCTTGATCCCCAAGTCTCAGCCCTGCCATGCTGAAGGTGTCTAGAATGCCTTCTGCTTTCCCTGACATGAGGCTCTGCTCCTCACCCCCCTTCTTACCCCACCTCAGGGTGAGGGCATCAGGCAGCCCCACATGCTCCACATGGCACGTATATCTCAGCTCCTCCCCAGAAGGCACCACCATAGCCGCCCACTTCTGGAAGGTTCCATCTCCCGCAGGCCTGGTGTCCACAAACTCCGTGTCCTGGGTCTGGTCCTCCCCATCACGCTGCCAGGTTATGGTGATCTCTGCAGGGTAGAAGCCCAGAGCCCAGCACTTCAGGGTGGCCTCATGGTCAGAGATGGGGTGGTGGGTCACGTGTGTCTTTGGTGGGTCTGAGGAGAAAAATCATGAAATTCAGACACTTTGTGTTACTTCCCACGGGCACTGAAACAGCCCTCATGTGACCACCCTTGGTGGGGGAGGTAGCACAACCCCAGACAGCAGCCTGGACATACACATCTGGTATAATTTCCTATCCCTTGGTAAGTTCTAGACTCCGGGTAAGACAGAACTGCAGGGTAGAACGCTTCTGGGGGAGAAAGGGACTTGAGGTCCTAACTTGGGAGGAAGCCAAGAGATTCAGATAAGCTGGGATCAGACCTCCAAACATACTTAGTGTGAGGCAGAGAATAAGCCCCAGGAGAAAAATTCATGGTACACAAGGCTGCCGCAGGGGTCAAAGGGAACCACTGATTAATTACTGCAGGGACTGTCTTCCCCTCCAATCCTAGAGAGACTCGTCCCTTAATTTCCTGAGAGAAGGGCGGCCCTCAAAGTCCCTCTCTGCTACAGAAACTGGAAACCCAGGAGAATTCTTCCCCTCTGGACCCAAGGGAGGGCGATATTCTAACGAGGATCCCATTTCCCTCCCCTCCGTGTGGGAGGCGAGCGGGGACGTGTGCAGGAGATGGGAGCTGTCCGCGGCCCCTCGCACCTGCGCGCTGCAGCGTCTCCTTCCCGTTCTCCAAGTGTCTGCGGAGCGACTCCACGCACTCTCCTTCTAGGTAGGCCCTCTGTTGCTCCGCCCAACCGGCCGCCTCCCACTTGCGCTGGGTGATCTCAGCCGCCGCGTCCGCCGCGGTCCAGGAGCGCAGGTCCTCGTTCAGGGCGATGTAATCGGCGCCGTCGTAGGCGTATTGAAGGTACCCGCGGACGAGGTCCCCGCCCGGTCCCACGTCACAGCCATACATCCTCTGGAAAGTGTGAGAACCTGGCCCCGCCCCCGAGGTCAGCCTCGCCCCCGAAGTCAGCCCCGCCCCACGGCCAGCCCCGCCCCATCTCGACCAACCGGCCGGACTTTAGTCTAAACCGGAAATGAAACCGGATGAAAGTCGCCTGGCCCTTCTCCGGTCCTGCGTCTCCGCGGACCCCGAAGCTTCAGAGTAAAGCTGAGACTCGGACATTCGGGGCGATCCCCGTCCGTCCGTGAGGGATGAGGGGCTCGTGACCTGCGACTCAGGCCCGGGGTCACTCACCGGCCTCGCTCTGGTTGTAGTAGCCGCGCACGTTGTTCAGGCACACTCGGAAATTCTGTGCGGTGTCCTTGACGTTCCGTGTGTTCTGTTCCCAGTACTCCGGCCCCTCCTGCTCCACCCACGGCGCCCGGGGCTCCATCCTCGGACTCGCGACGTCGCCGTCGAACCGCGTGAACTGCGTGTCGTCCACGTAGCCGACGACGATGAAGCGGGGCTCCCCGCGGCCGGGCCGGGACACGGCGGTGTAGAAATACCGCAGGGAGTGGGAGCCTGGGGGCGGGGAGGGCTGAGACCGGACCGACCCTCCTCCGGGTGCGGGACCCCCGGGACCCCCAGGACTCAGGTTGATGGGCGGGAGGAGAACAGGGGCGAGGGGCGAGGGAGACGGAAAAGGGCCGGCGGGAGAAGGGCTGAGACTTACAGGTGCGGAAGGATCTGCGCCTGGGTCATTGGAGACTCGGCTTCCCCGGGTCCTGCGCCCCCGCCGGGCGGTCCCCTCGCTCCTCCCC